TAATTAGGAGCTGGGAGTTGATACCCGGGGAGGCACGAGGACCCGGGGACCCCCTCAATCCACCCCCAGACAGCCTCAGGGAGCCCGGGGTAGCCGGGGGGCTGCGTCCCCCCGGTTTGGGACCGAGCTGCTCTCGCACACCTGGGGGTGGGCTTTCACTCCCCCTTTCCTCGCTTTCCCACCCGAACCCCTCCAAGGACAATATTTCCTCCTGAAGCAGGGAAATGCCGTCTCAGAAACAGGTGTGAAAGCAGCTGAGCAGGGGGAAAAAAAAAAAAAAGGCAAGAACATAAAATTGGAACAAAGAAATAAAAGTTAAGAATCCATCTCATGCCCTGGAAACCTTTAGGAGCAAGAAAAACATCCATTTTTTGGCCTGTTTTTACTGTAAACCTTGTTGTAAGAGATGGGAAAAAAACTAAAATACCTTTTTAAGAGGAGTGCTAGACAGAACACACTGTTGATTTCTTTCACTTTTATTTTTTCTGTAGCTTAGTGCTTAGAATGAATCTGAAACACCGTTTGCATTGCTATCAAACCCGGCAGAGTTTATACCGGAGTTTCCCTGGTTTCCTCACACGATACTATGCAGCCGCTCACTTTGCTGAAACCAACAACCCCGAGCCAGCCAGCAATCGTTACACAAATTAAAACTCATCCTGAAGAAAAACCCATCACCAACCTGCTGCTTTTCTCCTGCTGGAACCCCCCCCCCGGATCCCAGGGAAGCATTTTCCCCAGGAGGGATGGAGTGTTTTGCTCCCGTCCTCCTGCTTTTGGGGGGGACGCCAGCTTTGCATTTAAGACGTGTCCGACCGCTGTTTGCTCTTCTCAGTGCACACACACTGATTTTTCTTCACCCCTCATTTTCAGGGAGGCTCTGCTCCCTGACCCCCACGCACAGCGCTGGCAGCTTTAACCTCCTCCAAAATCTGCCTGAGGGTGTAGCGAGGTGCCCAGAGTTGGCAACTACTTTGAAAAATACTATTTGCAGGCAAAATTGTTAATTTTCCAGAAAATGAAGCTGAGAAATTGCTGGGATTCACGTTAATAGATTTTTAAGGGGAAACATTATCTGCTTGGCTGCCAGTAATATTTCAAGATCTGGATGGGGCTGGAAGCAGGAGCCGAGCTCGCTCCTGGCTCATGGGCTCTGGATGAGAGCCCGGGGGCAGAGCGGGGTGATGCTGACCCCCCCCAGTCCCACAGAGCCGCTGGGGCTGCGTCTCTGCTCCCAGCACGGACCATCTCAGCCGTTCTGCGGGGCTGGGGGGGCTCCTTCACGAGAGGAATAATTCTTGAGAGGTTGGGACTTAATGGCAGGAGAGCACGATGGGTGGACATCTCTTTAAGCTACAGGATGGCAATTTCCACTTCTGCCTAAATGATCACTGGGGAAAAAATCTGAGAGATCTCTTCAAACAGCGTTTTTTAAGAAAAAAAAAAATCTAAGCACTATTACCAGCTTTATTTTCACAACTCTGAAGAACTGAAGTACTGTCCTGAAACCCTGGGCATCCAACGAGCGGGAGCCAGCGCGGGCACGGCTCCATCTCCTGCTGCCCTGCAGCCCCGGGGCAGTGGGGACGGACAGCCCAGAGCCTGGACGAGGGCAGGTACCTCTGCTAAAGAGCAGAGCTGGAGAAAGCGAGGGGGATCTCTGGCTCCTAGCGCTGTCTTGGGCAACCAGAGCCTCATCCTGGGGCTGGTAAAGGACCTGGAGCCGGCAGGGAAGAGCTGCAGACAGCACCTCTGAGAAACTACCCGAGCAGTGTTTCCTGCTGTGGAGGCATCTCCAAAGCAAAGGCAGGAGCAGAGCTGGGAATTTTTCCCCCACCGATGTGTTTGATCTCCTTTCCCCAGGGCAAAGTGGCAGTCAGCTCCTCCAGCCCCGTCGTCGCAGCTTCGTTACCATCCCCATCCCGGGCCAGACACGTGCCCGTCAGCGAGGGGGAGATCTTCAAGCTTCCCGGCAGGCTGAGTAAGTAGATGTTGAGCAAGGTGACACTGCTTAAAAGGTGTTCTTACGGGGTGGGACATGGTGGGAACAGCCATGGGGCCCCATCCAGGGACCTTTCCCTGCTGGACCAGTCGTCAGGGTTCATTTTCTCTCTTTGGGGCATTTTTGACCTGTGAGTGCTCAATGTAGAGGGGAAGTTGAGAAGATGAGCATCCCACCCCTCAGCACTTTTGAAGACCAAGTTGTTTCAGAGGCTGCCCCTGGTTTCAGGAATCCAGCCCTCGCTGTGGAGCAAGGACGACGTGATCCACTGGCTCAGATGGGCTGAGGAGGAGTATTCCCTGCGGCAGACGGACAGAAGCAAGTTTGAAATGAACGGCAAAGCCCTGTGCATCCTCACCAAGGAGGACTTCAGACACCGAGCCCCCAGCTCAGGTTAGACCGAGCGCAGGGGGGTTTGAGGACTGGCCCAGTAAAGGACCAGCTGTGGTCTGCGGAGGGGGGCTGGGTGGGTCCCTGCGGACCAGGCTGAACTCCGCCTGGCCAGTTGGGTGCTGGAGGCAAGGCCAACCCTCTTCTTTCCTTTAATCTATCTGGACTGCAAATGCTTTGAGCTGGGGAATAACCTCTTGCTCCGTAGCACAGAAATCTCAGCAGCAACATCAACTGGGAGAGTCTTTACCGTAACACAAAATCATCTGAGCAGCCTTTCCTTCCCTGCAGGGGATGTGTTATATGAAATTCTCCGGTACATTAAGACTCAGAGAAGAGCTCTGGTGTGCAGCCCTTTGCTCAGCTCGCCCTTCAGCGAAGCCAGGAGCCCAGGGGAAGGTACGATGGAGAGCGGCAGCTGTCCATAAGCAGAGCCTGCCCTCACCTACAGTGGGGTGTGTGCGTCTGGGGTTTGAAGCTCAGCCAGCCAAACCCATCCCACGCTACCTGAGCAAGGCAGTCCTGGAGAGGGCAGCCAGGTCCAACAGAGCCCGGCTGTAGTGATGAAGCAGGTCTGGGCAGAAGCAGGTCCAACAAAGCCAAGGTTATCAAGGAATTTTATAGTGATGAACCACATCTGGGTAGAACCAAGCCTAGAGAGCACTAGGGGGGTCCATGGTGACCAAGCCAGGCTATGGCTGCACTGGGAATGTGTCTGCAGGGGGAGATCTGGATCAGGGAGGGTCCATGGCCAGGCACAGCCATAGCTGGAAACTGGTTCTCCTGATATATAGCTGGGAAAAGGATGGAAGGGCCGGGGCAGAGCTTAAATAGAGCTTCTAGGCCAATGGGTGGGGTGAGAAGAGGCTCCAGGTGAGGCTGGTCAGGGCCATTAGGGGGCTTGGGATGGGGATGAGTGGCTGGTTTTGCAGTGAGGGGCAGTTGGGGGGAGCAATTCTGCTGGCTCCAGTGTAGGGCGATGACTATCTTAAGCTCCCACAACAATTTACAAGGGAGCCTGTGTCCTCTGGTGGGTTCTTCTGTTCCAGCTTTTCTTCTGCATCTGTCCCTTACCCTACTTGGCACTTCCCCTGCTGCTCTCTGGACCTTCTGCTGCTCCTGCCTTAGGAAAGTCCCAGCTTTTCCTTCATGCTTGTCTCCTCTGGCGGGGCTGATAACCAGCCTGGGCTGTCTGCCAACCTGGGCTGTCCCTCCCTGCTTCTTTGAGGGCTTTAGAAGATCTCCTGGGACCTTGTATGATGCACCAAAGGGTGTTTTGTTTTTTTCCCCCCAGGGACAGCCTGTAGCGCTGAGGCTGCCTCAGTTGCTGTTTCCCCCTGCCCAGGTTGCACAGAACAGCCCGTGTCCTGCAGCCCCCCGGAGCCGCTGAACCTCTCCCATCACGGCTTGGAGGGCAGCTGCAGGGCAGGTACCGACTGCTCCCTGCCTTCAGCCCTGTCAGCCCCTGTGGATGGGAAAATTGCAGGTAAATATGAATTTACAGCCTGGTTCCTTGGGGAAATGGGATTGTGCTTTGCCCTGTCTGCCCATCTGTCTCCTTTCCATTTATTCTATGGATCAGTCTGTGCTTCCCTGCCTCAGTTTCCCCACCTGAAAAACCGTAGCTTCTGCTAGTGTTCTGATACATGGCAATCAAAGTGCTGCGCATGAGCTCCGGGCTCTTCTTGTGTTTATTATCACTGCTCCCATCTGCAATCCTGTTGCTGACCAACCCTCCCTGGAGCATGGGTGCCTTGGTGGGAGCTCTGGGACTATTTATTCTCCCCCACCGCTCAGACTGCAGGTTGCTGTGGGATTACGTGTACCAGCTCCTCTCCGACAGCCGCTACGAGCCTTACATCAGGTGGGAAGACAAGGAAGCCAAGATCTTCCGAGTCGTTGACCCAAACGGACTCGCCCAGCTCTGGGGGAACCACAAGGTAAATGCAATTGAGAACAAACTTGTCACCTGCGATGTCCAAGAACCACCTCGAATGTCCCACATGTGGTCCTGCTGCAGACAGACCCAAACCAGGTGTTGGCCCTTGCTTTTACTCAACCCCCACCAAATTCTTCTCTTCTTCCAGAACCGGATGAACATGACGTACGAGAAGATGTCCCGAGCGCTCAGGCATTACTACAAACTCAACATCATCAAAAAGGAGCCGGGGCAGAAGCTGCTGTTCAGGTGAGATGAAGCAGGTCGGAGAAACGAGCTGCCTGGGACGGTGTGGATGGGGCAGCGGAAGGTGCTGGGCTCCAGATGTTGGCAGCTGCCTCATCTTGCTGGATCCTGGGTGGTCCAGACTGAGCTGGAGTTGCAGCATCTTTGCTGTGCGCTGGGGTGACGTACAGGAGCAGGGTCTGGCCTCTGGTTTGTGGTGCTGTAAGGGAGATGAGGGGCTGGTCCCGCCGTGGCTGCGTCCGTCTCTGAGAGCTGGAATCAGCCTTCACGTTGAGGCAAAAAACCTGGGCTGGTTTTAGTTTTCCAGAACCTCAGCGGCTGCTCTCTGGTTTGTTTCTTTTTATCCTCCCCTGCAAATGCACCAGCCCGGTGGGTTTGTGTCCCCGCTCTGTCCTGCACAAGCTGGGGCTGTGGGTCCCATCCGCTGGTCTCCCCGGGGTCAGGATCCATCCGCTCTCCTGCGGGGTCCAGCTGATACTGGTTGAGATGTCCCCGAGCCCACCCCGGCTGGACAGGTCCATCCTGCTCCCAGTGACACCAGGTCTGAAGTTCACCTCCGGGCAGGAGAAAGGGTGGAATTAAACCAGGACCCTCCTGGTTTCGGTGCTGGCTGCTTCCCTGGGACTGGTTTGGACTTAAAAAGGCAGCACTGGGCCGATGAGTCCTGAGCTGTGTCACCCTGGGTGCAAAGCCAGAGCTGGGACCCCCAGCAAAGCCCAGGGGTGGCAGATCCCCTCCGGGTTTGGACATGCACATAAAGCCACTAAAAAATGTATGGCAGGTTTTTGAAGACTCCTGGGGAGATCATCCATGAGAAATCCAGCAAACTGGAGCAGCTGGAGAACGAGGACCACGAGGATTTCAAAGAAGACTCGCTGGAGGTTTCACCGTAGGGAATGTCCGAAGGCGGCGTTTGCTGCGCATCGTGGACGGATCTGTGCTCTGCTGGGAGGTGCCGGTGCCTCTCGCATCTCCCGGACAGATGGCCACAGAGGTGATCCTGGATTTCAAAACCTGCCCTGAGCCAACGCTGTGACATCTCCAGGGCTTCCTTAGCAAAACACACCCAGAAGTGTCCCCCAGCCCTGAAAATGCGCGGGCTGCTCTGCTGCTCGCTTCTCCTCTGCCCTCTGGGAGGAAACGTGAGATTTTTGCTCTGGAAATTTGATGCTTAAGGTTCAAAGTTGCTGGTAAAGACTGTCCTGTTCTTGCAGCAAGATCTCCCGAGCGGAGAGCTCCGAGCGGAGACCCAGGTCCAACGTCTCCCAAAGGGTTTTTGCAGAGAGCAGTGCCCTGAGCCTGAGCACGCTGCGCTGGGGCTGAGCCACTTCCCCGGCTCCAGAACGGACTCACGCTGCACGCTGTGATCTCCCCGTCTCCTGGGGGGTTGCTCCTGTCATTAAGAGTGGGAGTGTGCTGAAATATCCGCCTGGATCAGGGCTGGCCAGAGCCCCAGGCTGCACTGATGTCCAAAGCTGGGGTTTGGTTTAACTTCTTTCCCTCCATGGGCTTTTTGTAATTAGCTGACCAAATAATGTGAAAGCAAACAAAGCCAGTAATGAGTACGAGCACGCTCATTGTCAGACACGGGGTGATTTGCTCTGAGTCCGAAGCAGGAAAACCAGGCGCTGTTGGTGAGCACTGGAAGAAGCAATGTCTGTGTGTTTTAAATGCAAAAATATCCACTAATATTTTCAGATGGCTTTTGGTTGAGGAAATAAAATCCTGTGAGAGTGTATGGTTGAAAAATCCCCCTTTTTGGCTGGCTGAAGGTCTGAAACAGGGAACTCCAAGTCTTCCTCATTTAAAGCCAGCTCCTAGGGGCACCCAGGTCATGTCCCTGAGCTTGGCAGCCCCTAAACCAGGGTGCAAGACCCCGAGCTGCCAGCAGCTGCTGGGTGAACGTGGTGCAAGCACACGGTGTTTGGTAGCTATATGTGTCGTGAAGCAGCATTGCATTTCATGGCTTCTAGGAAAAGGTGAGTTCCTTCCGACCTTGTTTTGGCACCGCTGCAGAAACTACCCTGCTGCCTCGTATCTCTGCTCTGGACCCTTTCCCAAGCCCAAGCTGCTGTCTTGGTGCTGCTTTGGGGCTGTGGGAATTGTCAGTCTTGGAAAAAAAGAAAAAAGACCCCCCCCAACAAAAACCCAAACCAACCAAAAAGCCAAATCCCGAAACAAAGCTTTGTCAAGGGTTGGTGGTGGAGGTTTCCACCAAAACTGGTTGTTGCCAACCTGAAACTACCGTCCCTTTCGCTGTAACGGGTGTTGCTCCTCCAAAACTACTTTACACCCATTAAGCGGAGCCTGGAGATGCTGGTGGGCTGTAGCCAGCAAGAGTTGGTGGTGGGACACATGGTGGTTGGTCGGCAAAATGTCAACAGTCTGACAGCTCTGGAAATGTTGGCTGAGAAGTTTCGCTTCCAGAAAAAAACCACCAGCTCGCTGGCAAACTACCAGCGCTTGACAAGTCAAGCGATGGAGGAGAAGGAAGCGAGAAGGTCTAGTGGGAGTGTGGTGTTCACCACCTTTGGGAGGTCCTAGCCAGGAAGGGTGGCTAAAATCTCTGCTCAGAGAGCACGCTGGAGGCTACCCAGCACCCAGCCATGCTGCACTGTACCAGGAAGGTGAAGTGAAGCATCTGGAGCTCATCCTTCCTTCCCCAAAGGGTCCTTTTTGTCCCAGAGAAGACTAAAGCCAGACCTTTCTCGGGGTGAAATCCAGCAGAGAGTTGGTGTGAGCCCTGCCCAGCCCAGGGGATGGCTTTGGTGGGGAAGCAGAGCTCCTTCCCTGGCAACTGACCCATCCTGGCCCAGCATCACTCTTGGGATACGCACCCATGGGGACATTTTTTCCTGACTTTCTCCTAACACGACATCCCCCCTGCTTTCTTGCCCTGGAAACAGCCCTGATGACTCCTGAGCATCCCACCGTTCTCCAGCCTGCGTGGTTTGTTGTGTTGCAGCGGGTGACCGTTGGTGACGCTGGTGCTTGTGCCGTGCCGCAGGGAGCGTGCGCGATGCCATCTTTCACCTGTTTTTTTCAGTGATGACTAAGGATCCTGCTGGACTCGGACGGGGATTTCCTCTCTTGGTTGGGAAGCTGCCAAAAGCACTCAACCCTCCTCGTGCCGTGCCACCACGGCTCTGGAAGGATCTTGGAGGGTGAAAATCAAAGGACACTTTTGCAAGGATGGGCTGCAATGATGAGCGCTTTCCATGCTCCCAGGAATCCCTCGTGTCCTTCCCGGGGCGATGTGACCCTTTTCCCTGCGGTAAACAGAGGCAGGAGGGCTGTAAACCTGCCGCTTTCCTGGAACAAGGACCCATCCCTTTCGGTAAACAGCCGAGTAACCGCTGCTTGCGCCGCGGTGTTTGGCGTGGGTGTGTGGGGACCGAGAGCACACAGCAGCCGGTGACTTTCGCCGAGCCCCACGTGAGCTTTCCCGAAGGTTTGTGGGGTTCTCTGGAGGTCATCATCCAGGGTCTGGGGGTGTTTAGGGCAGGGGGTTGCCCATCAGCAGACACCTATCCATGCCCGCTGCTGCCTCGCACGGTGCGTCTGCTGAGGGAAGACGCTTAAATCAGTCCCGGGGTTGGAGGAAAAAAGGATTTGCTTTGGTGGCTGGTGCCCACCACCTTCTTGGAGCAGAGGCACCACGCGACCAGGCTGAGAGGTTCCCATTGAGGCCGTGCGTTGGCTGTGCTGTCCGTCCAAACCACAGCTGGTGTGGGGAGCCCCCAGCACCCCCATCGTGGTTGAGATCTGAAACTGGACATGATGTTGTACCTGGGCGGCTGGTGTTGGCTCAAAGGGACCTTTGAGGTCCACTTAAAACACAAGTGCCTCCAACACCCAGTGGGGTTGCTGTGGCTTTGGCCAGCCAAATCCTGAAGGCTTTTAAGGATGGTGACCCCCCCACCACCTGGACACCAAACCAAGGTTGTCCCCCCCTCCTGCACAGGAGGCTTTTCCTGATGCCCAACCTCCGCCTCCCAAGCTGTGCCCTGGATCTGTCTTGTTCCCAAGAAATTTGGGGATTTTGACTCCTGCCTTCTTCTGAGCCCATTGTAACCCTCGACACCTCGCAGCTCCGTGTGGGAATGCCTCTCCCTTAGTTTTTTCCACCTTTTGGAGCAGGTTTCTGTAAATAGGGCAGTTACCCTGCTGTGTCCCTGTGCTTTCCGTTCCGCTTTTCCCTCCAGCGTCGCTGGCCTGAAGATCCCCCCCCAGCGCTGTGTGCTCCCTCCACGTGACCACCTCTCCTGCCAGCTTCCTCATTCTCTCCTGGTATTGGTGAGAAACGCTGACAAACTGGGATCCAGATCTCTTCCTCCAGCTCTGGCAACGGGCTTTGGATTTGTCTCCGGTCTGTTGCAAACATTTTTTTCCTCTGCCTCCCTCCCATTAGGTTTTAGTAGATCCCAACCCCTAGAAGGGACCTGAACTTGGATAAAGGTTTGGATCCAGAATCACAACTCGGGTCAAGATTTGGGTCCCTTTGGGTATCCCATCTTCAGGCTGTGGTCAGGAATGCTCCTACAAAGAGGAAAAGACAACAAGAGGCTGTAAGTCAACGGCAATTCCCAGTTTAATAGTGAGAAGTTCTCTCACTCAGCCTTGGAGAAACTCCAGTGGCAAGATCTCCAAACTGGAGCTGGCCAAACTGTGCCCCATCACTGGAGTGGATGTGGCTTTTCGTTAGATGGATGTTGCAGAGAAAAAAACCAAACGGAATTGATTGTGAAACTCCTTCTTACCCTCTGGAATCGACCTGCTTATGAAAGGACGGGGTCATCTGCTAGTTAGCAGCATGGAGCTCCTGATGGATGGTTTAATTATTTATCAGAAATAGATGGGGATGCTGAAAAACAAAGCCAGGTAATTCTTGATCAATACCAGACTCTGATTCATCGGTGTAGGCTTAGGAGAAATGGAGGGAAATGGACTGTGTCTCTCCCGATAATGGGAAATTACAGCACAGAAGGTTTGTAGAAACAGAAAGAAAATAATCCTGGAACGGTTCAACTGCAAGCTGAACCCATGACCAGGAAAAAAAGAAATTATCTGGGAGGGACTTGGGGCAGCACATCATCCCCACTGAAAACTAGAGAAAACACAGCAGTGCTCAGGTGGAAATCTCGCCGAGGGGTTTTCCAAAGCCTGCGTGCCGACCGCCTGGCAAACGTGTCCGAATCCAGCACGGTCCCCGCAAGGTGCAGTGCGAAATATTGCCATCAGATGGCAAAACAGCAATGAGGATGGCGGGAGCAGCCTGCCGGAGGATGCAACGGGCACAGGGCTGCGAGGGGATGGCTGTGGGGCCAAATGGATCTATGGTGTGGGGGAAAAAAAAAAAAAAAAAGTGTAATTAGATTTGTTTGTCCCAGGGGCAGATTGTAGATGTTGGGATGTGTGGATCTGTCTTGTGGGTTTGGCTCTGGGAGATGCTTTTGCTCCTGGGCAATGCTGAGTGGGAGCCACGGGGGCACAAAGGACACAAGTTGTGGAGCAGGTCCTGTTTCGTGTTTTAGGGGGGGTCAGAAGGACCCCAGGGTGGGCTTCAAAGATGTTCCAGCCCAGTTATGCTCAGCATTAGGCAACAACCCGATAGCAGCGTGGCCCAGAGAGTCTGCGGTCCTGCAGAGCTTTCCTGGAAACTCCTGGGATGTGAGCGGAGGATCCGCTTGCTGCACTGAAACCCCATTTATCTGGGAAGCTTATGACTTCTCCTTCCAAAAACAACCCAGAAAACCCCATATGTGGCATTGCACCCACTTAAAAAAAAAAAAAAAAACCACCAACAAACAAACCAAACCAAACCCAAATGCCCAACAGCTGGCTTGGGTGGCTGGTTTCAAAGGCTGGTGTTTACACCAGGCGACAGGTGATTTTTACGCTGTTTTGCTGCTGTTTGTCATAAGGTAATTATTTTCTCCTCCAGCGAAACTCACGCCCGCTTGTTTTCCGCCACGAGGGAGGTGATAGCGGGATCCCAGGCGGAAGCGTTGGCTGCTCTCCTGCCTGAGTGGCTGCTATAAATAGGAGTGAACTCACCTGTGGGACTATAAAACTAGAGCTGGGCAACCCTTGGTGCTTGTGGCCCAGGCACTTGTCTTGACATCTGACCAGAAGGGCAGAAATACTGATGGAAAGGTAAATACCAAAAAAGCAAATCAAGAACGACGCGGCCAATGTACTGGAATCAATCACAGAGGATGGGGCTGGTTGCTTTGCTGTGATTACATCTGGTTGAGTGATTTATCGGGGTGTTGGTGGCTTTGGTGGTGGCTTGGATGAAGGAAACTTGCTGCTTTGATCCAAAAAAAGGCCAGGTTGGGGTGGGTGGGGGTGCTTGTCTGTTGATGATGCTCATCTAGACCAGCTCCAGGGAGGTTTGTCCGTCCGAGCGTGCTGGGTTTTGGGGTTGGCTTCCATTGTGCTGTTCAGTGGTGGGGAAAGTCTGGCTTGGGTCTGGTTCCCTGAGGGTGAAATCGGTTTCTGAAGCAGAGCCAGCACGAGGCACAGGCACGGCTCGCTGGTTTTTCAATAGCAGCACCTCCTGTTTAATTTTGCTCGTAGATGTGGACAAAAAGGGTGACGGGCAAGGCAGGGAGAGGGTGCCCTGAGCTGCGTTTGCAGCCCTACACTGGTGAGAGCTCCCAGAGGGGCTGCGTCATCGCAAGGTGATGGCCAATATTGGCAGTGACCGAGGATATCTGCACGAGCCCACGTTGCCCTTGGCCACTCCAAGGGCTGGAAGCACCCATCCTCATTGGGGAGTGGTTGGGGTTTTTTCAGCAGCCAGTACTTTAAGGGAAGACGCTAGAAGGCACGGCTGTGTTCAAGGCCAGGCTGGATGAGGCTTTGGGCAACCTGGGCTAGTGGGAGGTGTCCCTGTCCACGGCAGGGGGGGGCACTCGATGATCTTTAAGGTCCCTTCCAACCCAAACCCTTCTGTGATTCTATGATAAAAAATCCGTGTTGTGCGATTCGTCGGGGTCTGGTGCTCCTGGCGTGTAGTTTTTCACCGTAGCATGGGAACACGTTGCAAGAAGACGACACGGCACCACGGTAGCTGGGTGATGCCCTTGCTGGATTAACCCCCGGGGTGATACCCAGGCTGTGCCTCTCAGACGTGCCCAGGGTGTCTCCCCATCGCTGTGGTTTCACTTCCTTTATCAGCGGTGCCTATAGCCCGTCGTAAAACCCTGCGTGTGCAGTCTGCATAAAGAGCGCTCAGATACCCAACAGGTCTATAAAAGGGGTTGATCATTTACCGGGAACATAAACAGCCTCAGACACACACAGCACTCCTGGGTGTCAAAATGGAAGAGATTTCCATCGTGTCCAACCTGACTGCGCAGAGTCCCGGGGAAAGCAAAAATCGGGCTGAAAATGTTGTTTTTCTCTGCAGCAGCGTGCAGGCTCTGGCTGGGGAGAAGCCTCCGTGTGATGTGGGGATGCAGCCATCGGGCAAGATTCTCTCGCTGGACAAGCAAGGGGCCAAGAAAGTGCTGGAGATCTACGTCAGGCGCTCGCTGAGCTGCTGCGAAACCTCGCTGGGGGCCAAGGAGGGAGGCAGAAGGCGAGGGAGGAAGGCAGGTGGGCTGCAACGGTCGAAAAGTGACTTTTGCAAGTATTCGTGTGCCAAACTTGGCCCCAGGAAGGACCAGGAGGAGGGACCCAAAGCACCAGAGCTGGATGAGACTCTGGATGATGAGAGCAAAGCTCCTGGGGAGGTCCCTAAAGAGGAGATGGAGCCCAAGAAGAAAAGCACAAAAAACTCTTCCCAGCGCAAAACCCAACGCACCTGGTTCAAAAGCGTCTTGAATTTCCTCCTCAAGAAGAGCCCTGAGGAGCAGAAGGAAAATACGGGTCAAAAAGCAAAGGAAAAAGATGCCAAAGCTCCTCACAGCTCCAAACCGGACGGGGCTAAAAGACCTGGAGAGGACTCGAGCACGTCCCCGCCGCTGGGCAGAGCCTTGAAGAAGAGACCCAGCCTCAAGAGGGTTTTCTCCTTCAAGAAGCACGTGGAGGAGGAGCGGGGAGAGGCAGCAGCCGGGACGAAGGCCAAGCGACCCAGCTGCCTTCCCCTGCGGCACGTCCAGGCACTGGCCACCCCAGGTGGGACCCCCACCACCCCTAACCCTGACCCTAAACCCACCCTACTGCCAACAGGACCTCCCTTGGGCTTCTTTGGGGAAAGCTTTAGAGTTTAGTGCTGGTTTCTAACCTAAGCATCACCCTCCTGGTGCTTTCTGGGGTTTGGGATGGGGTTTGGGATGGGGTTCCGGTGCTACAATCTCAACCTGTTGCCCCGGGAAAGGGTCAGTCTGCCCGTTACCCCAAGCCAGACGCTCGGCAGTGACCATCCCAGCACAGGTTTTCCCCCTCAAGGGACAAGGGACATGGTGGTTTAGTTTAAACCTTCATTCAAGACCCGAAATTAAATCTTCAACCACTCTAGGGTCAGCGTTAAGCTGCTTTTGATTTACTGCAGGGACGGGTCCGGGCAGAGCCTACGGGACACCCCCGTTCCCTGCCCCAGCCCTTCCCCTGCTGAAAAACCAGGGAGGGGATTTCCGCAAAGCTTTGTCAGGTTTGGGGCAAGTCGCAGGAGCTTGGTTATGGTTCAGAGACCGTCAAAGCCACAGCAGGGCTGCGCTCTGCAGCGGTCACCGGCGGCACGCGCTGATCCAGGGTGGGCACATGCAGTCACCGCGGCGGCTGCTTTTCTTTTCAATCAATGGCCAAAAAAAGAAAAAAAATCATTCTCACTTCTGAATATGTGGTTTGTTTTTATTTTTTTTTCCCCAGCAGACGTGGAGCAGCCTGACGGTTACTACGCACGAGTCTCGGAAGAGATCGGGCTGATCGTGCAGGGCAGCGAGAGCCAGGGGAGCAGAGCACGAGGACGCGGGGAGCCGCCGCGGCCGGCCAGCGCTGATGGGGTCGGTGAGTGCTGCCCCATCGCCGGCACGTATAGAAAACATATAGGCATGAGGCTTGTCCCCATGCAAAGCCTGTACAGGACCCAAACCCTGCTGCAGTCCTGCCCCAGGGGCTTACGCCATCCAAAGAGTCGTAGGAAGCTTTGGAGGGAGATTTTTCAGCATCAGGGCTGGGAGAGAGAAATTGAAATGCAGGAGGGTGGTTTTTCCTGGCTAAAGGATAACATGACACTTGGCAACAGGCTGAAATGGGGATGGAGGTGGATGCACAGGGCTCGGGGAATTTTTCAGGGGGCTTAAACAGGCAGCGCTGCCCCCTTAGAGGGTCTGGGTGTGGGGCTTGGAGAAAGGGCTGGAGATAACGTGGGATCTCTCTCTGCAGACGAAGCCATCAGGAGAATCGTCGCCCTGCTCCAGAGCGCAGGAGATGAGCTGGACAGGCAGGTGAGAGCAGGGCTGCCGGGGGGTCGAGGGAATTTGGGTAAACTCTACGCTGCTGTAAAATACAGCACATTTCCCTGGTGTGGGTGAATGATCAGTAAAATCAAGGAAACGGCATCCTTTAATTCCCCGACGGGGTGTGATCGTGGCTGTCTGTCTGTCCTCCCTCGATTGCCATCCTAGCGTGGAGTGACGGCATCAGCGCACAGACGACACCCTGAGTTATTTGTTGGTAATGTGTCTGTTCACTGGCTTCCTCACCAGCTGAAGGAAGATGCACAGCTACGGACGTTCTTCAGGGACATGTCCTACAGCTCCTTCAAGAACTTGGCCGATGCCTACGTCCGCAAGGAAATGACAATGGCCAGCAGACCCGACGTCAACCCCCAAGAGATCCAGTTTGCCTTCGCCGTGCACCTCACCGCCAGGGTGGCCGGCATCTGCAACCAGGCGGTCAACAGGATCATGGGCTTCGGCACGCGCTACCTGGAGGATTCCTTTGCACCCTTGTCCTACAGCAAAATTCTCCAGGTAAGGAGGAGGACCGGCTCTGGGACTGAGCTTCCAGCAGCAAGTGAGGGCAAGTGGTTTAATTTTAGGGTGATGGATAGACCTGGGTGGGTGGCGGTCATGCTGGCTTATACTGGGGGGGGGACACTGGGTGCTGGATTTGCCCTGGGCTGCCTTTGCCTTTCTCCAACACGAGCGTGGCCAAAGCACACCCAAGGAGCAGGACTTGCTTTGCACCTTGGCCACTGCAACCTGGTGTAACCGCAGCTTTCCTGGGGGTGAATTTCCTCCTCAAGCCATCTAGAAGACCAGCAGCACCAGCTCCGTTTGGGAAGGGACCTCACGGATGTTTTCTTCTGTCTCAGCAGGACAGAGAGAAGTTCAGCACAGACAAGTGCGAGAGCCCAGACTGACATCAGCTGCTCCGATGGGCTGCGGTGCCCGGGAACCCGAGGATGCAGATTTACTGGTGGGGGGGACAGTCCCTGTTGGTGATTTGGATGTGAGATGATTTTCCGAGCTGTGGATTGAAAATCTTTGAAGGAAAACCACAGCGACAGCCACAGCCACAGCAGCATGAAGTGCTTAAAACCCACCCAGCTGGGGGCAAAGACTCTGCAAATCAACCAGAGCCCAAATTTTGCCCCGTATTTGCATTTCAGCTCTCACCGAGCGCGTGGGTTGGACCTCATGGTTTGTTTGTGTTCGTGTACGTCTATTTATTGACCTGCTTTTCTATACGTAGCTGTGAATGTACAACATAATTTTTGTAGCTGCTGTCAGCCAAGCATCCACTTCAGGAAAAAAAAAACCCCACAACCCTAAAACTCAAATAAATTGGTCCCTAAATGACAGCCAGGCTTGTCTAACGGGTGACGTGGAGGGACGTTATACCTGGAATAACGTTTGCTGCAGCTGCAGCTGTTGGGGGCTGCTCCTTTCAAGCCAGATGCAAAGTGGCACGAAGGGAGTCCTACAGCAGCCACGTCGTGCCATCCTGCCACTTTTTCCTATTTATAGCCATTCCCTTTCCAGCAGAAGGAGATTTATTTGTCAGCCCAAGCAGCTTGATCTGACACCCAGACCTGGGTAAAGCTCATTCCCGAGCGGCGCGGGAGCTGCCCTGGCTGCGGCTGTGGATTTACGGCCGCTGGGGTCTCACCTCCGCGGTCTAAGAAGATGCGAAATGTCAAAGCGATTAAATCCTAATCGCTGGGAATGTTCCCAGCTAATCTTTGCCCAGACCCCTAAGAAGGGCCATGGATTAAGGCGGCTTGGGGCTGGGGGGGGGTT